TATTGGAAATTGGCAGACGGTAGCCAGTGGTAGAACTAGTTATAGGCGTCAACTAAGGGAGGTGATGGATTACAATTGATCTGTACGACCAGCGAAGTAAGAAAGCAAAGCCTCTGACTAGGAGCTTATAAAATATTAGAACAATTTTTATACAAAATTTCGCAGTTCATGGAAAACCACGACCAGAAAAATTGAATGCATCAAAAAATTGCACAATAATAACATAATCCAGTATCATGATTTTTCGGAACAATAGTAATTGTGATTGAACATTGATATAATATTTATACATGCCATGTTTTTAGAATTTTTACTACAACTTCCGACTTTGTTTTTTGTTGAAAAACTAAAAAGGTACTAAAATAGTTATATTACTTGCCATATAATATTTTTGTGCTTGGATATGAAATATAGTTGCACGCTACAGTCTCATATGTCTGCTGTTAAAAGAGGAGTGAAATTACAAAGAATAAATTCAAATCACGTATTTTCATAATTCTTATCTACGATCAAGCATTACTTCTATCTTTCCTATCGTATGGTTGCGATAGTTTTTTTTTTGTACATTTCACTCGTTATGTATTTTTCCCCTTGCTAGGTTTTGACAACAATTGCCATTCGACATTTTCTGCCTTCTTTTTCACATTTTTTTTAAGCTTTTCCTTCCCAGTTAGAGGAACTAGAGGATAATAATGATAGGTTTCAAAGTCATTGATGACACAATCATGCTTAACAAATCGTCAAGTTTTTTTCTGATGATACTTTTGGTCTATGACTTATGGCAAGTACGTATAGAAAATCAGAAAAAAGTCTATCATGATAATAATATAGGCTTAATATTCTTAATGGGTATTGTGAACCTTTTGCCTTATCTATAAATCCATCAATCCATTCTTTTCTATTGAAACAACAGAGCGAAAGCAGACTATGAAAGAATAATAAAAAATTATTCATTGTCATTTTGTTACGATTGAATGACTTTTTATTATCAGTTGAAAAGCGTTGAGCTAAATCCCAGTGATAGCTTTGGATGGAGATAGAGAAAAAGCAAGTAGAGGGTCATACAAAAGATTATTATCGTTCATTGTATACGTGCCTTTTTTATTATTATAGGAAAAAAAGAGGAAGAAAAAAAATATCCTTTAAATGCTCATAGCAGGAATACGGGAAATTGCAGTGTTCTTTGTGCATTTGTGGAGCAACAATTGATGGCAAAATAACTTCAACTTTATTTATCAATATTTTGCCTTTTTATTACTTTAATTGACTAGTTTAATTAAGTAACTTAATGTTGACTTTTTCTTACAATAGATTTATTGGCACAATTGATTCATATCATTGTCTATCTACATATAATCCCGATCGGAACAGATTGAAATGAGATCAACACTTCGGCTAACCGGATAGTATACTTAAAACCAAGCAGCAGCTGTTTTTAATTACCAGCAACTTAGTTTATACTTGGAAATGACTGCTTAGTCGCTCCAGCTAAGATCTTAATAAACTTTCTGCTTGACTGTCGTGAGGACAACATTTAAATGTGTCTCAATCAGTCTTGCAGCTTTTAATCAAAAGGATATCAAAAAACCTAGATTTATCAAAGGATTTGATTGCATTTCTATCTCTAAAACCTTAGTAAATTGATTGAAATAATTTTTTAAATATATTACAAGTGAAATTGATAACTAAATGCGATTAAAACTCAAAAGAAACCACGCAACAATTTTTACTAAATTCCACAATATTTTTTTTATAAAATCCCACAACAATTTTTAACAAACCCTACAAAAAACAAATGCATTGAAAAATCATTACCATACAATACATCATAAAACATATTGAGCAAGATCATGGTTAAATTGTAATTGTTACTCGTCCGGAAAGTATTTTTTTTAAGTTAACAATATCATTACTTTCTGTAAATATTCAATGATGACAGTTGCCTCTTTCATGCTTCAACTTTATCTCCATACAATATTTTTTTATTGAAATGGAGCATGACTAAAGTATTTATTGAATTTCGCGTGCTTTGATAATTTTAATAAGATGTGAGAGACCGTGAAAAATTTATTTCATGACTGAGTAGCACAACGAACACATTTGCATAAAGTTTTTTGATTTATTGTAATAGATTCGTATGTCATAATCATAAAATTGATGAAATTTTGGTCTTTTGAATTACAGTAATTAGCCATAAATATTTTTGTTTCTTTTTAGGTGGCAATGACCCTGATTTGTTAACTTTTTTGTGATTATTTGAAACAAGTTGCAATTAAAAATTATTTTTTTCAGGATCTCTAATTGCTGCATTTTACACAATTTCAATATAGTAGATTAATAAATTATCTACGCAATAATGCGGAAGGAAAGTTGACACTTTTGACCTGTGAAGTTTCTAAAGAAAGTAATTTAATCGAAACGGGATTAGATTAAGTAAGATAATTAATGTAAGATCTGGATATAAATCATAAAGTGTCATTGAAGTTTTATGCAGAAATTTGACTGCATTTTTACCTTGCAAAGCTTAAAAAAACTACATTTTTGAACAAGTTTAGCAAAACTAGATAAATTCCACACGAAACTTTATCCGAAACCAATTCAGTAAATCTTTAAAGATCTCAAAGTGTTTTCATAAACTAATCTCACAGATACGAGGTGGAAATCATTAGGTCACTGAATTAATATCCACGTTTTAATCAGACGTAAATAAATATAAACATTAGATTCAATATATCAAGTTTATCAGACGGAAAGGTTTTTATATTAGATACCAAACAGGTTGCAAATGCTGACGCTACTCTACAGACATGCGATGAGGTAATTGAGATTCAATTTGAAGAAAAAATTTATGCTCATTTTGCAAAAAAAAAAAAATGCACCTTGTCGAACAACAATTACACTACAATATCTCGTGTGTGTGTTCACATAATATTTATTCATACAGAAGAGATTAATTTTTTTAGTGTCTATTTCTTTTTTGCTTCTTGTTTTGTTCAATGCGATTTTAAAAAAAAAAGAAGAGAAAAAAAAATGCAAATTAATGGCACATTTGTAAGTGCTTACAAGGTGCAATAACTTTGTTCAACAAGTGTTTACAAGTATCTAGAAAAACATCTAGACATAATTGCTTGAGAATTAATATTAATTGTTATTTAAATTGTACATAAAAACAATAATATGAGTAGAATGCAACTTGTTGATCAAAGTCTTCATTATAAATGACTTTCTGATTTATGACTAACTTCTGATTCACCATTTAATTATAGGTTATGTATGCCAAATTAGTTTGTATTAGAATGATACAGTTTAAGCTATTTATAATGTTCTAGATTTTAGAATCAGTGTTGATATTTAGGAATTTTACAGAACTTTAACAATTTCAAGGTTGGTCAGTTTTATTATATTAATTATAGAAAGTCAAAACCTTCACCTTCTAGAAGACTTTCAAGTTAACAATGTCCTTCAAACTTAGTCCAGTCAAGCCACTTAAGTCTTAAGTTGTCTGTAGAAGATATTGCACTTCCGATGGACATGTAATAATTAAAGCACTTTGCTGTTGATGAAACACTTTCATTCCTCCAACTTAAAACATTTGTAAAATTCAGTTGTCAACAAGAGACAATCCCAACAACACTGTTCAGAATGCTTCATTTACACCAATGTTTATTTTTCCAATTAATTTACCTATTTGCTCACATTTGTATCGGTTGTTAAAGTTTAACATCCAAATTTACAAGAGTAATTAAATATTGATTCATTCCACAATTTTACGGATCAGATTAAATTGTGTGTTTTTCAGTTTCGACAGTATATGAAGATTGGGCATGCGAGATTATTTTTGTGTGGTGGCAAAATCTTTCATTGTTGCTATAAATCGTTGTGATATTTATGACGAAATGTTAATTTTTTTAGAGATAAATGTAATGCACTTTTCAATAAGGTCGAGTAATTCAAACAAATTGAATTTAGAGTACTTCCTACCGCAGGATTTACTAATGATTATTAATATTGACAGACATAATGATTTTAATTTGACAGTTTGAAGGTTGATTGGCTACTTTAAAGTTCATTCTTTATCAATTTTACTCAAATTTGACTAAATTAACAAGTTTACTTTTACTAAAGTTTATTAAAATTCAATTTTGAACTTCCTTCATTTTATGTTTAATAAAAATATTAAATTAATACATTTGCTGTCTATTTAGCTATCTATTCGACAGGTTAGATGTGTGGTCGCGAGATTTTCAATCTGTAATGCGTGTAAGACTCAATTCTGTAAAGAGGAAATATCGAAAGCTGTCAATAATTTTCATATTTGTTTGATATTTAATTGGTACTTTTAGATATTTTTTAAGTATGGTTTAATAAAGTCGTTTTCTTGCATTTTAAATTGATTGATTGACGCATTTTTCAAATTTTTCAAGTTTGTTTGCTTAATTTTGATCGATTTATAAGAGTTCAATTTTAATTGAATTTTTTTAATTTGAAAACTTGAATTCCTTGAGAATTCGGATGTTGGGACATCAGCAATGTCATTTTAGGAAGTAAAGGCAGTAGTTGATTTTCAAGCATTAATTAAGTTAATCTATAAATCGTTTAAAATTGAATAAACCACAAATGAAGGTAAACAACCTAAATCCATTCTTGAAGCTAATTCCCTAAGACCTAGTAAACTTCATAAAAGACTAGACTTCCAAATCACAACAAACATCAAAATATCAAAATCTTATCTCCAACTAAGCACCCCTTGCTCTTCTCTTTAAATCAAGTTATTAATTGCATTATTAGCATCTAAGAAATAATATTTAGCTTGCACTTGTAAACAGTTTTTCTGTTCATTTATATGCTCATAAATATTTTATGTCTAGTAAAGCAAGATTTTGTTCAAAAACACAAAATGTGGAACATGTGTACATAGTAATAACATAGAGAGAAATAATAAAAAAATCTCTCATGAGTTTCAATGAACTGTGAAGCAAATGCTGCTACAAGCCAGACGGTAAGAGTTTAGGCTAAATAGTAAATCGAGTAAATGGTACTGTTTATCCATATGTTGTCTTCAACTAAACTCAGTTGCAGATCAGACGAGCGCGTTGTAAGTCGGTGAAATAATAAAAAAATATCTGATCGTAAACATATTTTGATTATCATTATTAAATTTATATTTCTGTAATAAAAAAAATTATATTAATGGATAAAGTGAAGTGTTATATCAAACTAAAATAGAGAAAGAAAGACAAAATTAAGTTAATTAAGTTATTATATTTATGACCTTTTAAGTCATCATGTTGATGGAATCTCAATAAATTAAATTATACATTATGCAATTGACTGTTGTAAATTACTCAATAGAAGATTTGTTCAACAGTAAAGTGCTGAAAAGTGTTGAATGAGAAAATAAAAAAAAAATCATTACACAAAGAATTAAATTCCTTGTCACATTGTGGTATTGTGTAATGTCAATAAGTGTGCCATTAAAAACATGAAATTTTCCTTTCTACTACTTTCTGTGCTTATTATATCAACAACAACAACATTCTCACAAGAAATATTTGAGCTTACAACCGGACTTGATGATCCACGATTGAGATTTTTCTTTCATGGATTTCGGGATTTTGTTTTTAATACGATTGGAAAGACAAGCTATAAAACCAAAGGAGTATTTTTGCAGGAAAAGTTTAGGAAAAATGCAAAATTTCCATGTGATGTTGAGCTTGGTAAAAGCCGGGAACCACCAAAAAGTGTTCATAAGTTGAGACCTGGGGGTAAAGTATATCAATTTTAGTCGATGAGCTTAAAACAGTCATGACATAAATGTGCCAGAAAAGTGAAGTTGAATTTAAGACAAAAACACTGAAATTTCCCGTCGTGTGTTGTTCGGGCTGATGTGATAATGTTTATGAGTTGTTTTGGAATGCTCTCAAGTTGTTGTCAGACTAGACCAGTTTGAATTTAATTAGAGCAACAAAGTATTTGCCAGCATTTGCAGAATTTATGAGACTAATATGTGTTTGTGCTTTAGAGACTTAAAAGTGATGATTCTCAATTGAAAATTTAAGGGGTCGTTCACGTATGACGTCCAACATTAGGGGGGGGGGGTCCAGAAATTTGTGACATCCAATTTTTTTTTTTTGAGAAAATGTCTATGTGTCTATGATTGGACGTCATAAAGGTGGAGGGTGGGGGGGGGGGGGGTTATTGACATCTCTGTCAGTTTTGTGACGTAGAAGTAGATGGGGGGTGTTTCAAAGTTTTTTTGATGATTTTCCAAAAATTTGCATTATTTTAAAGATTTTCTTGAATTTATTTTTTAAAAAACTCAAACTTTAGTGTCCAAAATTTCAATGTTCAAAAGATTGGATAGAAAACGGATGTGAGCAAAATTGTGCAAGCTTGTAAAAACATTTCAATAATTTGATTACAAAAAAGAAAATGTCAACAATTTCCCATGCACCTCCGTCGCTTTACTGAGATAATAAAATAATAAGTCATACGTGATCAGCGAGCTCCCTGTCATAATGACGTTATAATTAATTAAAACATTTCCCATCTAGTTACTCATCCTTTCCATCTGACACAGAAAATGTTAATGTTCACTCAAAATCACATCATCATCATCATTATGGGTATCAACAGTGTGAAATTCCACCGCTCTCATATTAATGTTGGCATAAACATGTTGGATATCCATACGTAATATTTTCTTGTCGTGAATTTATGAACAATTTTCTAGCATTACATCACGATCTGCGTTTCCACTTATCATATTTATTATAACGCTTAAAATCTTTTAATCTTGATCTGTGAAAATGGTTTTGTTCCTTGCAGTTTTTTTTTATGCAAAATAAGCTTTAAAAAAGATTGTATCTTTTAATGGAATTTAAGTTTGAATGAACGTTATTGAATTAGTGCAAAATTAGCTTAATTATTGCTTTAAAAGTGCAAATTTAAATCATTTGACTTACAAAGGAAATAATAATTTGGTTAACCTTTAAAAAATGTTAATTTGAACTAAACCAGTGTTGTCCAAAGGATTGAGCCACGGCACACCTAAAAGGTTAGCCATGACCAAAACCGCATAAGACGTGTGGTTCGTAGTATCCCAATGCTGGCAAACAGAAATTTTTGGGTTCTTATTATTCGAACTTCGAATTTTTGTGGTTCTTATTTTTCGAAAATCGAATCTTCGAAGTTCTTATTTTTGAAAAATTTCGTTGTGAATTATTATTTTTCGAGTAATTTGTAACTTTAGTGAACATTCCTACTAGTTTTTATGATTAAGATCATCACTGTGATGAAATTGCATTCCTTAAATGTTTATGCTTTAAAAAACAGCTAGTTAAAAAAAATAAAAAGTAACGGACTTTCTTATTTTGGAATTTTAAAAAAATACTGCGCGAAAATTTTGAAATTTTTTTTGTTTGTAACGGACTCTGTTCTCTTTGCTAACATTGGGTAGTATCTTTACAAGCTTCTACGGCACACTATAGTATGCCGCGGCACACAGTTTGGACAACACTGGACTGTACAAATTAAAATATTCAATTGCAAAAATCACAGCTTAATGCAAAATTAACTCAAATTGAGTCAAAAGATAGCTAATCTTGAAAACTACAACATCAATCACCAACCAAAGTTCAATCATCTCTTTGCAAATATCTTTTCTTCATATTGAGAAGATTAAATGATTTGTGACTATCAACATGATCTCATACTAATTATATTTGATCGTAACTTAAGCGAGAAGCGGTTTTTTGTGAATGTAAACACCTTAATCGCCGTATTTTTTTTTTCTTTTCACTGCTGCTTGTTAAAAATCAACACAAAATGTTGTTTTTCGGTAAATTTGTTGCTGAACAGCAGCAGTAAATCGTTAATTAAATTCAACCTTGAACTATCGTTGCATTTCATTACGTATTGACTTTTAAAATACGTCATAAATTGCGGTCTATTGTTGTAAATTGAGATTTTTTTAAAAAATTAATTCTTTGATCTTTAAAGCACTTCCTAGGCACAAAACACTTAATGGCTCATAAATCAAAGAAGTTTGTAAATTAAATTATTTCGTAATTTTGTTTCTTCTTTCAAGTCTTAAAGTTTAGATTTTATTATAGCTTCATTCAATGAATTAATGGTTGTGAATTAAAAGATATTTCAGTGATCGGTGCTCTTGGAGATTCTCTGACATGTTCAACAGGTGCAATGGCAGAAAGAATAACGGAATTGTCGATGGAAAATCGAGGATTGTCTTGGAGTATTGGCGGTAACATTAGTTTTTTGTTGCTTAAAGGTTCAGAGTTGGAAAATATGGAGGAAATTTTAATAATTAACACTAGTTTGTGTAGATAGGTCTGAGCATAGGGCTTGCGTTGAACTGGTTATATGTGTAATGCGGAAATCCTAAGTGAGATAAGCACCTCGATGGCCGAGTGGCAGGGATCTCGAATCGAGTGATCAAAGATCACCTCTTTTGAGGTCGTGGGTTTGATTCCCATTGAACCCGACTTGTTTTACATTAGTATACACATATGGCAGTTATAGGGAGATCTACAGTTTACTAGTCTGTTCTTTAATGATCTTCCTGCATTTGTCAAACATTAAGAATGATAATCAGAAGGTCATTAAATTCATCATAAATAATTTACAAGAATATTTGACAATGAAGACACGAAATTGAGCTTCATAAATGGACAATTTAATTCAAAACATGACTCGCCTGTCATAAGCAGACACATTTATGACATTGAATGTTTCAGAAAGATAACACTGTCTGAAACAAGAGTTAAGTGTCTGAAAACTCTCAACAAATGACAGTTTGTGTCAGTCAATTAATTTGTTGCTAATTAAATTTGGATTAAACCCGATTAAACTTCAAAAACTCATATTTCCAACTCTGAATTTAATTAATTCAAGTTCATAGATTGTTTTTTCATTATTCATATTATTAATTCAAGTTAAATTCAACCTTGATTAAATTATTGACTCACATGGTTTCATGGAAAATTAAAAGAATTGTTTGTCTTAATTAAGGTCAATGGAATTGGAGAAATGCAACAACACTTCCAAATATTTTGAAAGTATTCAATCCATCGGTAAATTAAATTTTTTTTTTGTTGTTTCTCATTCCTTAAAAAATCAATTATCATATCGTTTCTTTTCGCATTTGCTTCTATTGCTGTGTATATTTTTTAGCTCGTGGGTTATTCACTTGATGATTCATTTCCATTTCACAAGGCTTCCCAATTTAATCTTGCCGAAATTGGTGCTGTTTCAACGGATATGCCCTTTATGGTAATTAATTTGATGTAATTACTCTCTGTCTATCATGTATCGTTACTTTACCAACTGAACCATTGCATAAAAATTATATTACATTAATCTTAGGCACGTGCTCTAGTGAAACGAATCAAGAATGATAAACGTGTTAATTTTAAGTATGATTGGAAGATTGTTACAATTTCAATTGGAGGCAACGATATATGCAGCTTTTTATGTCTTATGAAGAATCCTGAGAGATTACCAGAAATGCACAGAATGGCGCTGACAAAAACATTAAGGTATTTAAAAAATAATTTACCACGTGTTTTTGTTAACATTGTATCAGTGCCACATGTTGAGACTGTTATAATGATTCGAGGAAAGCCACAATCTTGCAGCTTTATTCATCATGGTAAGTGATATTTTATTTTGTTTTGAACTTGTACGTGAAATGTTTTTATCAAGGCTTTCTTTTAAATTCCCGTTATCGTGTGGTTTTTGAAGGTTTGATGTTGGTTAAAAACAATTAATTTGTGGAATCGATTTTTCATCTACAAATTAATTTTTAAAAATGACACATTTGAAGGTTGATTAGATCTTCTGATCATATGATTAAAGATTTCTTAACCTTATTTTTGTGTTCAGAAATCAAAAGATAACTTAGGGTCCTTTGACTTATGACGTCTAGAAGTGGAGTCAGCAAGAAAAGAACAATAGAAATTCCAGGACATTCATTTAGAAAAATGACCGGTAATTTCGGACGTCATAAGTGAACGACCCCTAATTGTCTCATGAAAATTCAAATTTTGATTTTCTGAACGCACGCCATAATTATATATTTTTTGGAAAATGCACAATCTTTTCAATTAATTGATGGCTTAAACTGACTCCAGAAAAGGAAATCATAATGTCCAAAGCTTGATCAAGCTTTTAATCATATTCTATCAAAGTCTTAGTTGTAATTAACGCAATTTTTAACAAGCAAATTCAATGTTTATTTTTGAAAACTGTTTGATAGTGTTAGTGTAGATTCAATTTTAACGGCAAGATTTCTGTTCCCCACCCCTGGATATTTCTCTCTCTCCCCCCCCCCCCCCCCAATTCCACCATTTTACAATCTCAATTTACCGATAGAATTTTATTACCTGACATCACTTCACTCATATATCTTCTTCTCTAATAGGCGAGTGCGCTTGCTGGGTCGGATCATTATCTAACAGCACGAAAGAGTCACGAGAAAGGTCAATATTGTTAAATTTATTGCCTTATAAACAACATTAATTGCATTTCATTCTACAGATGGAAAAAAATTCAACGTCAGTTCATCAGTGTCGAAGAAGAAGTAGCAAAGTTAGATGAGTTTCGACGCCTCGATGAGTTCGCTGTCATGTATCAGCCCTTTACGAAAAATGTTTCTGTAATTATTTTTTATGATCAATTCAAAATGGTGTAATAATTTTTGTTTTCCTTCTGTAGCTTATTGTGGATGGAAAGCGTGATTTATCATTATTATCATTCGACTGTTTCCACTTATCACAAAAAGGTCATGCATGGGCTGGAACAACTCTATGGAATAACATGTTAGAGCCAGATAATAAAAAGACTTTAAATTGGGCGAGTCCTCAAAGGAAACTCAATTGTCCCTCAAAGGAGCATCCTTATATTAAAACGTATGATAATAGTTAATTATTAGCAATAGGATAAAGAAAACTTATTCTGTGAATGTACCGTAAAATAATGGTATTATACTATTAATAACATTTAAGAAGATTTTGTGATTACTGAGAGAATGCTTTGCACTTAAAGGCTTTCCTTCTCTTCCTTTAAGTTCGGTTGTATGATTTTATTTTACAAAAACAAAAGACATTTTAAAATCTGTGGTATTTCTCTCCTATTATTATTAGTAGTAAGATTTTGTAAAGAAAAGAAAAGAATCTTTGAAAGCTTTGTCCTAGGAATAAATCTTTAAATTTCTAGTTCTTGTAAGGTTGTATATGAATAAAAATAGAATTGTCTATAAGTTAATTTATGACTTTAAATTCACAATTACGGTAATTTGAATATGAGAGTAATTTCTTCACAATAATTAAAATTTCTATGCTGCTTTATATTTTGTAGTGCTTCATTTTAATTTCTGAATCGTGATAGATTAAAGTCGCTATTTTAAAGACTTACACAAATATTACAATTTAGGTAGATCGAATAAAAAACTGGTGCCAAACCGACATGACTCTGGCATGATGCTGGCTTCGATTTAAATCCAGAGATGGACTAGACATGTATTCAGATGCTCACAAGATTCTCTAGTATTAAAAGTGACAGTAGCAGACTTTATTGATGGCAAGAGATCACGAGGAAAACCAAAGAATTTGTAGATTGGATGTGTTGAAAAGGACGCTAGAGTCCTTAATATCCCGAAATGGCAGAAGGTTTCTAAGGATAGAGCTGTCTTCAGACGGTCTCTAAGCGAGGCAATGGTCCCAAGTGCGTCCCAGCCAAGGAAGTAAGTATCATGCCATAGACACACCGGTTTGGTGCAAGATTTCTGATCGATTAACCGACTTGTGTCATTCAGCTGTTCACTTGAGACTCAATATGTTGTGTTTGATATTAATTGAAATTTATACCCTAACAGACAAGTGAGTATACTAATGGTACCGTAACATACTCAAGAGTATATTCTGAACATACTCTATGTTGATGATGCTTAAGATCTCTAAATAGCTTTAAATATTCATATATATAGCACATAAACATATATATAGCAAAAATGGAAGAGATTTCATTAATAGCAACTCACAAATACACTGCGGTACACAGTTTGAGAACCTCTGAATCCAAAATTACTTCAATTAACTCACACAAATTGGCATTTTAAGTGACACGCATAGTACAAACTTTTATATCGTACACTTAAGATGTCATAACTTCAACTTGCTTGATTTCCTCTCATCTCTTTTGGAATCAATTTGAGTATAAAAACTTCATGAATTTTAAATCTGAATACATTTTTAATGAATTAAAAAATGAGATTGAAATAACTAAGACATTATTACACATGTCATTTCGCTTCTATAATTATTCACTTCAAAAGCATCACAAAAAAGCCGTGAAAATTTACATTAACTTAATTATATATTTATGAAGGTATGTCAATTAAATATAAAAAATTTCCCGCATATTTTCTTTTTGAGCAGGGATAAAGATAAAGAAAATTCCTTTATGAATTACAAAAAATATATGTATATGTGGTGTGTAAAATCTGGCATATAATTTATAAAATAAAGATGTTCAAGGGGAGACAATTTAATCACTTCAGATTTATTCAGATGTGCTTGAAAGTATTTTATGAGAAATTTTCATTAATATTTTAAAGATTTTTAATTTAAATTTCAACTGAATTTTAGGAAGTAAAGATTAATTTAAGCTCAAATCTACCAAAAATCCAAGAATCTTGTTAAAATTTGATAAAAGTGAGATTGAGGAAAATTAGGAAGATGAAGAAAATGAGAAAAATTAGTTTAATTTTTGACAAATTGATTTAAAGTTGAACGAGATTTGTTGACTGAGCTCAAGGAGATAAGATTCAATCAGGTAAGTTTATATGACTCAAATATAATTTCAATGTAGAAAAGCTATATAGAAACAATTTTGTGGTGTCTTAGCAGAGTGTAATCTGGAGTATCAAGCAATATATAGGCGAATGTGCCAGTGCAGTAGTCAGTCGTCTGTGAGTGGTTAGATAACATACCAGATATCTTTAACCCTCTTTTGTGAGGACGTATGTTCGATTCCGATCAGAAACCCGATCATCAATCATTATAAAAAAATTTGTCCATATGACAAGGATTCGCACTAAAATCACGCCATTAAAAGTTCGAGAGTGATTAAATAATGCAGCATTATTAGCTCAACTTTAGTAAAATTGTATGAAATCAGTCAAACTTATGGCAAAACGGAACAAAGCTTCCATCAAGCTTCAAATGCAGCAAGTGAAAATTACTTCAATGCTCAACAATTCTTCTTCCTTTAACGAATATGAATTGTCCTGCTTTCAGTAGCTACATATCATTTATTTAAAAAGGATGAAACTCAATTCATACAAAAACAATTCGAACAAAAAAAAAATTTACTTCCCCAGACATTAAGTATGAAAAGCAAAAAAAAATAATATTAAAATATATTTTTTTTTTCGTATAAACAGCAAATGAAATGTAAAAAGGAAGTAGGAGACAGAAGAAGTTGAGAAAAAATGTTACATCATAATTTTATGAATTTTTAATGTCGAATGTCTTCAAAATGAATTTCTTTCCTTTCCTTTATTCTGCAGCATAAAAAGAACATTCGAATGAAAAATGAAGTAGAAATGAATAAAAGAATTTCCCTTCACCTCCTTCCGTTTGCTGCTCTTTCACAACGGTGATGGGAAATTTTATAAATTTTTAATAAATGTTGTAATGGTAATATATGTACTATATGCCGGCAGCAAATATGAATTTTACTGTTTTTTTTCTTGTTGTCTTTTACTCTATCCTTTTTTTCATTACATACATTTTGGAAAAATTATATTCATGGGCATTTTGACAATGTGAAAATGTACGAAAATATATTTTTTTTAAATCCCAATGAGATTTCAGAAAAGAATAAATAAATTGAAAATTTTTCAAATGATGATCTTTTCAAGTACTTTTGTCATTGGAGATACACCGGTAAATATTTAATACAATCATATTTATATTGTTTAAGCTATACATTAGGATATTGGATTGGGAAGTGAGATAATCATTTTTTCAAATTGATAATGATATTTTAAATGATTTTTGACATGAAAGCTTTGTATTGGTCGTGTATTTTTGAGCTGTGGTTAATGGAATTGAAGTTATATCTATAAAACTATTTGAATGATGCGAACTTGTCTTTACAATTTCACCCAAATATCACATTTAACTAGGGTTGGGCAATTTAATATCTTTAATTCTCATATATGAATTGTTTATCATTTACAAATTACAGGCAAGTTGAAAAATGCTAATCAACAAATAACGTATTTTTTCATTTTTGAATTTCTAATATTCGAATATATATTTGAATATATTCGAATATTTTTTTGTTCATATTCGAATATATTCGAATATTTGCCCAACCCAGACTACCGCCATTTCGTTTCGGACTTCTTCGAAATTAATTTCGATTTCTTCGATATTAGAGCCGAAAATTCAAATTTCAAAAAACAGTTACATTATGTAAACAATAAATTATTTTAATTAATACCAATTCTGCACAAATCCCAAAGTTCTTCATAAATTATTAATTTTATATTTTTTTTATCTATTCTCAACTTTATTAACAATAAAATTTGAGCAAAATGAGTAAGTGTATGTTAAAATCTGGTTTAACCGTCAAAAATTTTTGAATATTATAACGGTCATAAAAATATTGAATTTTTTTGAATACAAATTTAACGGATGTTATATGAAATGACGGTAGTCTGGCCCAACCCTACATTTAACTTAAACTGCAGTTATTGTACAAAAATTCAAATCAAAACTCCAAAATTTACAAGTTTAAAAATGTTTAATAATACCGATAATACCTGAATTTTAAAGCAACTTTAATTAAAATCATAAATAATCAAATTCATTAAATTTCGAGTACCTAAAGCATCCTTACATCAGCCCAATTAAACATAACATGACCTCTTGTTTACAACCAATTTTCCTCATTTATGCCTCACACATGTAATTATTAGTTTAAAACTCCTTCTCATATTTAATAACCCCAATGATGCTGTTGAATTTGAGCATTGAAGAGGTAATAATAATTTACTTACCAGAAAATAAAGCAAATAAAAATCATTGAAACTCACAATATTATTTCTACACAAAAAACTATGCTGTCTTCGTACAATTTTTCCATTTTTAAAATTAATTTTTTTTGAATTCATAAACCTTTTCCATTATTTTGCTCCCCTCTCTTGAAGCTAGCGGCATATTCGTATAAAAAGAGTCTGAGAATCATTTTAATGGCGTGGGTTGTTAAGCGCATATTGAGGATTATTCTCTAGCCAAATGAAAGAACTGAACAGAAATGAAACGAGTTAACTGCAAAAATGATCCTTTTTTCTTGGAAAATAAAATGTCCTGAGAATTTTATGTTCGCATTTTAGTCTTTGGAAAAATGTTGTAAAATATGGCTTGTAGAAATCTTTTGGAAAAAGCTGATTTAAGTTCAATATTGAATAATGCTGTCTAAAATCGAAGCACGACGATCTTTAATGTGAACGTGAATTTTTAAACAAATTTGAAGATTACATTTAAAGTTCTGTACTTTGTTAAAGTTGATACAAAGAGTGCGGAAAAGATATATCAGATTTTCATAATGTTTTATCATTTTCCCTGGACAATACTCTTTCAAATGTTAAACCAAAACTACAGGATAATTGTTGAGAATATAGTAACGGTTATTCAATATTCAAATTATGTATACAACTATAACTAGTATGTTTCCCCTTGTATACCCCTCCAAATGAATGGTTAGTCTCTTTCTGATTATTGAACAATAAAGATCAGTAAATATCATTGCTTATTAGCGCATTTTTGAAACTTGTTTCGAAAAGGTAGCTTAATATATCGTTTTGTTCGTTCGTTCGGGCGGAGAAAAACTTTTTAACTAGACATCGTAGAGAATTCTAGTTTGTTTTATAAGCTCAGGTCCATTGTTTTATTTTCGGGAAACGCATTTAAAAGTCTTGATACAGTGTTTTTGTACTATAATTAATGACTTTTATATTTCATATGAAAAAAACGTGCTGAGAGCGTTTAGAAATTCGAATTTATTCCTACCGTTGAAAAATTTTAAATCTCAAATAACCGTTAAATGATAAATTTTTTATATATGGAAATTCATTGAAACAAGTTTATTAATAAATAATTCATAATTTCCTTTATAGCAAGATCAAAACTTAGCGAATTGACAAACTACAAGCAAAACTCACATTTTCTCCTCAA